TAACGACAATTCTTTTTAAGATCTTTACCAATACAATTTTCATTTTCATTTTTTTTTTTGAATTTATTTTATTAAATTGGTATTTTTGGTTTTTTCTTATAAAATTCTGTGCTATATATACAAATGGATGCATCCATATTACATTTATATGTATGTACAAATATTTTCAATATAAACTAAAAAACCATTACACGTATTGAGATTTATTTTATATTCAATTGTATGTGATCTTGTAAACAACATTAATTTTCAGGCAATTTTACTTGTACCGTGCCTATTTTTATTTTATTTTTTATTCAGTTTTGTTACTTTAACTATATACAGACAACAGCAGCACTTCTCGTTTTGAACTTGATTTTATGCCAAATTACTAGTAAAATAGGTTGTAAAGAAAATGTTTAAAAATAATAAAAAAAAAAAACTTGTAATAAAATATAAAAATAGAATAGAAAAAAGAATATTTACTTTATACTTGTACAAAGATCAGACGAGCATCTTTAAAGAAAAAAAAAAAATGAGCATGAAAATAAGAAAATCTTAAACTACATAATAACATGACCATTACGAATTCCTGAATCCAACAAAATTATTGCAGTATGAGAACTAAAAGTGAACAAAATCATGTACACGTATATACTGGTATACCAATATATTGACAAATATAACAATATTAAAATAAACTTTTCTGTTACAATAATCTGTTGAAAACATTAATAATTTCAAAATAATTCGAAATTTCAAAATATTAGGTTCTTTCTCAAATGAAATCACAGAGTAGGTAAAAATTAGACAAGAGATTTTGCTTCGTTTATCTTCCCAACAACTTGTTCTTAGAAATTATTGTTCTTTTATCTTATTATCAAAGTCGAAATGGGATCTGCAATTATCATTTTTAATATTTTTGTGGCATAATTTTAACAGAAATTTATTTAGATTTAAATTTAGTTTTATAAAATGCAATAAATGTTATAAATTTCGAACATTTTATAGCAATAATAATGATTTACAAAAATGTTTGCCCTTTTCACGACCCAAATAACTGATTTTTGCTGTATAAAATCAAATGAAACTTTCTTAAAACTTTAACATCATGTAAAATAAATAAGAAAATTGTTATAATTAATTATTGTGTCTTTAAGGTTAATTTGTTTAATATTTGCATAGAAGATTTCAAATAAATTTTAAATAAAACAACATTTTTTGATTAGAGATGCTAAGTTATTCAGATAGGTCATTTGGAATTTGGAGTTCAACTCCGCAGTAAGTGTCATTTAATTTTTTCACATATACTCTAAATTATTTGCTGAAATTGAGTGAATAGCAGCAAAAAGTACTACGGTTACGTTGCGGCAATTTTATTTTATAAAATTAGAAATAATTGGAAAATATTTATAACAAAATCATAATTATTTTTACTCGAATTTCAAGTAATTACATACAGAAATCTTTAAGATTTTTCTTTTAAAACCTCTTCTCAGAGAATTAGATTTCATTCTTTAGTAAATGGATAGGGCAATTATACAAGAATTATAATAATATTTTTCAAAATTATTATTAAATTGCTAATGACATAAAAATTTTCAATTCATATAAAATACTTATGCCTTACGCATCACAAGTTCACTTTTAGCATTTTACAAAAATAAGAAAATTCTTAGTTATAACATCAATTACTTCTATAATGTACTTGCATACATACATGCTTTATTAACGTTCTCCTTGAACTTAAATTTATATACTCGTACAATTACATAATAATGATATTAACAATTATATAACCTTTTAAAATTTATTTATGTATATAAAATATACAAATTAATCGGATGTCCGTTATTTAAGCTTGTCGTGCAAAATGTAATTTTGCAAAAAAAAAAAAATAAATTATTGGCTATGAAACGTTTGTATTTGATAATTTTTTTTATATTTTTTTTTTTAAAACACCAAATCAATGAATGTGAATTTGCGACACATTCATGATATTTAATCAAAATAATTACAGATTTACACATTCGATTATGTTTTTTTACTTCAAATTCTATTTTTTTCATATTTTGCACCAGCTGCTAGCATTTATTAATATCAGTTACTGCCGTATTTCATAATTATAGTTGTATTTTTAATAATTAACTTAATTAGCTTTTAATTTTTTGTTATAATATTTGCTTGTATGCAATTTAAAATATTATAAGGTTTCCATTACTATTTCGTGGGAGTGTTGAACAGAAATTCTTATTTTGAACACACCATTTTAGTACCATTTTTTGTTTCAATTCTGATTTGCCTCACAAGATTCGCAAAGATTTTATAATTCTTTCAATATTATTTTACATTTACAATAGTACCACTTCGATTAAATTTAGTTCAAATAAACTTGGTCGAACTGAAACTGACTTGAAACTGAAGTGACACCAGCTGTTAATCAACAATAAAACGAAAACTTTATTAAGAATTTATTAAAATTCAACGACATAAAAATTTTCGGTCATATTAATTTTATCACACTATGTGAAGTTAATATTGAAATCTGATTTTTAGTATTAATAAAAGGGGCATGCAAATTTTATATTATTATAATTATTTTATTTAAGCTTATGTAATAAATTTTATTAACAAAAATTTTAAAGCTAAAGGTAGCAAAAATTATTGTAATTAAGAAATGAATACCTACATTTATTACGTTTTTATTCTTAGCCGCTGATCTCTGGTTAATTCCCATATAAAAACTTATTTATTTAAGTAAATTCTAAAATTAACTCTGCAATCTTTATAACAAATAAAATATATTAAATATATGTAATTAACTTGATTACTTAATATTTAGAACTAAATATTGTTTGATATAAAAGATTTCACGAAACAGCATAAATATTTATGCTAAAAAATTAATGCTAAAAAATTAATAAAAGTTTACCATTAAAATAAAGGTAAGGTACTGAAAATAATGAAATTGAGAACAAATTAATAATTTTAAAAAATTAAATTCGTTTTTATGACTTCAAATAAGGTTGTTAAAACTTCATTGTAAATTAAATGAGTTTAAGGGTGTTGTTCTACATTTAGGATGCAAAAAAATTTACTTAAAGGTCTATTGTACATTATTCTTTCTGTCGTATATTTTTAAAATTAGCATAACTTGATTATTAAATTTTAAAATCTTATTTAGTTTATTCTTAAATATTTTTTACAACTAATATTGAAACGCATAAAGATTTCGGCATAAAATATAAAAGATGACAATTGAATTTTATTTAATTTTTCTGTTATAAGTAGGGTTGCCAGATTCAAAAAATTTGAATTTAAAATAATCTCTCAAAAAAAAATAATAAGTATAATTAGATACGTTAGAAAGTCTTTAAGTTAAATGTACTATAAAAGTATTTTAACAGATTTTAAACTCAACTTCGTCAGATTCAGAGAATTATGTTCAAATTTAAGACACTGAATACAATAAAACTAGTAAAATTGACTAAAACAAATTATTAGATTTTACTCTTCCTCCCATGTAAATATTCTCAATTCCGATAGAAAAAAAAGAAAAATTTTGAGAAAATCAGAAACAATCAGAACTGTTGACAACCCTATAATTTTAACATTAAAAATTAATTTTTATTTTATTACAGTATTTCTTTTTTTTAAAAGTGACCTTTTTGTTGCATTGCACTTCAATAAAAATATTAAAAATTCAAAATCTTTAATTGTTACTTGAGTTACTTGAGCGATGACTCAATTTTGTGTAATTTTTTAAAACTTCCAATATTTTATTAGCAGCCAGTGCAGCAAATCTAATTATAAATACAAAATAAATTCTAATTACAAAAGCTAAGTAGGTTCAATTAAAAATTAATCAAAATTCAAGTTCATTTAAAATATTAAGTAGAATAAAAAAAAATAAGACAAAAATAACAAAACCTTAACGACACCGTCCACACCGTCACATTTATAAAATGCATTCTGTCATTCGCTTAACATTTTTGAATTGTTTTGAATTGAAAAAGCACATTTTATTTTCGCGTTTTTTTTTTAATTTTTTTTTCAAATAAACATTTAATTTAAATGATGTTCTTATAGGTCGTTGCATAATGAATGCGAGATCACACAAATGTTTGTTTTTTTTTTTTGTGGAGAACAACAAATAATTACACATTTCATGTTTTTATCAGATTAAATGAAAATGAATGCAAAAAAAAGCTCGTTTGGGAGAGTTTTAGACTTAAAATGAAATTGGATTTAGACTTAGTATGAAATTCGTAATATAAAAATTAAATTAAATTTAGAATTAATGAATATCGGGTGTACGAGTATATTTTTGATTCTTTTCTAATATAAAATTAATTTTCTATTCGGATTGAAAATTAATTTGAGTATTGTTGTTGTTGAAAATTTTTGTGATTTTTAGCTATGCATAATTAAAAAAATTTCATTAAAAAATATTAATCCATTACATGAACTATTCCATATAAAAAAACAAAATCTCTATACATACATTCTGTTTTCATATTTGAAATTAATGCAAAATCATCATAAAATCATCGGTGTTAATTAATTATAATAATTAAATAATTATTAAATATAAAATATTACAATTATACAAATAATAATTTAATAATTATAAATAATTTGAATTAAAAATTATAAAATAAAATTAAATATGAAATGAACATTTTCTAGTATAATATTCAAGTTAATAAAGAAGACTATGGTTTTAATAAAAAAAATGTATGGAAATGAAGACTTAAACTGAAGCAATTTGTGACAATATGAGATTAAAATTGTGAACGATAAACAATATATAATTGAACATTTATAATACAAAATACCAAATTAGAATAAGAACAAATTCAAATTTTAAAATTTGAATTAAAATATAAATAAAAACAAACATGAATTCATGAATAAGAGCAATAAAAGTCTTAAAACAATAATTTTTAATATTAAAAATTTATAGAATTCTTGAATATTTAGTTTTGGATAAGAATTATTATTTATTTATTTATTTTCAGCAAAGAAATGACAAAAAAAACTAAAGTGAATTTTATAATTAGAACTTGAAACAATTCCAGTTTTTTTTAATAAACAACTTTTAATAAGTAGAGAGAAGAGCAATTTTTGAAAAGAATAACTAAAAATAAAAAAAAATTGTTTTTTAAAAACTACAAATTGGCAATAAAAAGTGAATTGAATTTAGTGAAAAAAATACTTCTAAATTAAAAAATCAATTTATTGAAAAAGTGTACAACGAAATTTATTTTTCATATTACATTTAAAAAAAAAACACAATTAGAATAAGAAAATTAATTGAAATAAAAGGGAAAAAGACAAAAGTAAAAACAAAATTTTAAAAATTTAAAAGTAAATTTTCAAATTTGTTAGTATTTTTAGTTTTATTTAAGAATAAAAAAAGAACTAAGGTTAATTAAAGAAACACCAACAAAAACCAACAACTTTAAATATATTAAGTTAAAAAAAAAAAACAAATATAGAGAAAATACAAACTACAACCGCCCAGTTTAACGAAGACATGCAAGTCGATGATAAATTGGTAATAAAATTTAAAAATAAAATATTTAATAAAATATTTTTAATTAAAATTTTTTTAAATAATTTTGTAAATAAAAAGTAGTTTGAATACTTAGTTTATTTCTTCAAAAACTTTTGTAGTTTTGTTACCTATACACTTTTACACAAATTGGTAGAAATATATGAAGTTTTTTAAAATAAAATAAAAACCAAATTTTAAAATTATGCACAATATTTGATAAATTAATTAAATAAATCAAAATAATAGATAAAAATTATATTTAAAAATAATTTTATTCAATATTTTTATATAATCTTATGTATAGCACAATATAAAATATATTTTAACATGCGGTAATTGGAATTTCAAACAAATTAATTAATATTAACTAAAATAATTAACAAAAATATCACCACCATTCAAAAATTCACAATAAGAACCACAACAATTCACAATTTTTATTTTAAAATTAAATTTTAATATTTTTATAAATAAATAATTAAACTAATTAAATTAATTTATTAGCAAAATTATATAAAATAAATATTTTATTTTTGTTGTTGCACAAATTTTATAAATATTTTTCTATACATAAATTTGTATTTATATTGAATAATAAATTTTATAATATATAAAATGTAGAGCATGTAAGAGCAACTTTTCAAATTCTATTTACTAATTAAATAATTATTTTAAAAATATAAAATTAAAAATTTAATTTAAACAACTCTTATTAATTGTACAATTAGTTGAATATTTTTAATAAAAACATGATTATATTTTTTTTTTTAAATTTCAATTTACACAAAATTCTTTTAATTATTAAAATGTGTAAATTAAAGAATTTCTTATTAAATTTATTAGTATTGTACTTGTTGTTGTTGCTAAATGGTTGCTATACAACAAGTTTGTTCATACAGTTTTAGGTATGAAAAATATGTTACACTTCATTTAATTTCTTCATATAAATTTTTAGTTTAATTTTGTACTCCTGAATTTGATACAAGACTTAAAAATTTAGTACCAAGAAATGATTGAATGAATTAAATGATTTTTTTTTTTACTGAAATTTTAGTAAACAAGTCACGAAAAGACCTTATATTTAATATGACCAAAAAAAAAAAATCAAAATTAAGTGTAACAATGTATTCTTTACATATTTTGGCTTATTTGTATTCTAAATGTGTTTAGTAAGGCTGGTTAAACGTTTAAATTAAAAGCATAATTCTATTACACAATTTTAGGTAGAAAAAATATTTTAGGTCATAATAAATGATATTTATTTTATTTTATTTAATATTATATATGACATCAAGATTAAGTTATACGTCATGTATTTTGAATGAATGAAAATGTATGAGTTAAAATCCTGTTAAGTAAAAAATACGCGACAATTGAGTACATATAGTGTGTGACCTTCTTTATAAATATTATACATTAACGCATTGTATGGTTGCCATATTTTGTAAATAATAATTGCAAGTGTTATAAAATGGGTTAAAATTTAAATATAATAAGTATGAATAATTCGGAATTATCAGTAAATCAATTTAGTTCGGTTGGAATTTATAAAAACTTGAATAGAGTAAGAAATTCTGATGAATTTCTTTTATGTAATTGAGGTTAAATAACTTTTCTATTACGTGAGCGTTGAACATTATTACGTAATAATTTTGGTTAGCGTATATTTTGGTAATTGTAGGTCTTATAATCTAATTAAAATATTTCATACTTTAGTATTCTAATACATTTTATATCAAAATTTGCCTCGAAACAGAATTGGAATAAAAATGGAAATGACATATGCTCTCTTATATGTAGCTTTACGATTCCAAACTTACAAAATTACAAAAAAGGAATTGGATTATATTTTTAAATTTTGCAAAGAATTCAATTCTTATGTATTGCAACTTTACCAAAATATATCAATTTCAAAAACCGACCAAAATCTCTTTTCATTTGAACTTGATTTCGAGTTTATGCTTAAAATATGAGCGAATTCAAGAAGGTACTTAAAAATTAATATGTCTATATTTATAATAAGTAAACATAAAAATCGTTTTTAAAACTTTTAATGGTATTTCAATGAACATACGCATTTTAATTAGTGCGTAGGGAATCACGTATAATACGTGACTTTATACAAGCATTAAGCATTTTTGAAAATCTTCGTAATTATAATAAAAAAATCTTATATACTATGTCAATTATTCCCCCACATTATCACTCTATTCAACTGAAATTGGGAAATCACAATTTTATTAAAATATAAAAAATTTAAAATGAATATTTTTCTTGTTACCTTCATATTAAATACAAACTATTTTTTTGTAGGCAACCTTAACATTCAATTTGAAAATGTATACAGCTACAAATATGTAAAGAAGAAGTAAACAAAACGACACCTGCACAATTTGCGTTCATTAATAATTATTATTGTTTGGGAAAGCAGAAAAAAAAAAATTCAATTATCTTTAATTTTTGGGAAAAAATATTTGAAAAACTTAAAAATAAAATAAATATAAAAATCTACATCTATGATTGTAAATAGAAAATTATTTTAAGCTTCTCTCTCTCTCTATATCTAAATGAAAAATTTGTCTCAAATAAGATGCTTGTAGCGCTTATAGCATTTGGTATACAACACCCTAACATTTACCATAAATGAAAAGTAAGAAAATATTAATAATTTAACCTTCAGATAGCCATTTTTGCTGTTTTGTTAAAGTACAAAACGGAAGTTTTCTTTCTACTCCGCCTACACAAGTACATTATATGTACATATTATGTACATAATAGAATATAATACATATATATTAAATTAAATGATATTAAAATAGTTGAAAAGCTGAAAAAAATTTTATGCAAAAATTGTTAATATTTTTATTTTTTATTAAAATTTAAACATACAAACATCAATAATTGTACACGCAAATATCTCTTACTAATTTGAATATTTTTCCGATTATTATACCAGATTCATTAAGTATATTTATATATACAAAAATTTATTTAAGTGTATATCAATTATATTTATTTGAGTGTACCCTAACCTACGTAATTTTTTCTTTTTAAAATAACTTTAATCATAACAACTAACTTCAATACATTATAGGTACTTTTTAAAATTCCATTTTAAATTTTTACAAAATTTTAACCAACATTTGGAATTCAAATATTTTTATAGTTTAAAACGCTTTTATATGTATGTATTGTATATTCATGCGCATAGCTACTAGTCATATAACATTTGCATTATACGACAGTATAGAAAGTAAGTATAAATTTTTGGACTTAAAATATTTTCATTAATTACGGAGCTAACATATACTTAATTGCTAACTAAGATAATTATGATGACTAACTATTTTTAATTCGGAATAATAAGTTGCATGATTAAAACAATTTTGTTTTTCTTATTTTTTTTTCGTATTTTCTTAAGAGTAAAAATTTAATTTTTTTTTTAACTAAATTGGATAATGTGAACGTAATAATGTGGTTTTTCTTCATTTTCAATGTGTATAGAATTTTATTCGAAAATCGTAATCTTACAATAATGAGAAAAAAATATAGAAACTAAAATTTCCAAGAACTAGAAATATTTTAAAGAGATGTGATCATAAAGATGATTTTGAATGGCATTTTTAATTTAAAATTTTCAAATTTCTGAGTTGGAAATTTTAGTCATTACTCAATACATGAAAAGATGTTAGTGATTAAAAAACATGCGGCATTATTCGAAACATTTCAGGAAAACATTTAAAATATAAAAAGAAGTAGAAGTACCTCATGAAGCAATCGTATCCCGTCAGTTTTTAAATTTTTAAATTTGTTTCGATTTCTTAATTCTAAAATGAGAAATTAGATGAGTTTAACAATAATGTGAGACCACATTGATTTGTTCACTGCTTTAATATGGGCGTAAATTAAATGTGTTCGACAAATGAAAAGAAAATTTTTCTATTTACGTCATCATTCTGTATTAAAAGATATAGATTTCGTTGTTGCGCCAGTTTCCGAATTTCAGAATATAAAATCATATAAAAAAAAAATTGCATAGTGAATTATTTATATCAATGAAATACTTAATAGACAATATATTGTCGTAAAAACTTAGAGGCAAAAATAGAAAGGTCGAAGATTAAACATGATATAAAAATGTGGCGGAATATACATCAATTTACCGAAAAAATATTTTTCTTTGATGAACTCTGCATATGTTAATTTAGAAATATTTTAGCCTTGAATCCTTATTTTCTGAATTTTCACAAATTTAATTGTCGCATTTTTATTGCGATTCTTGCCATATATTTTATTGCTATTGTTTTGTAAATTCTCATTATATAACATTCTCCATGCTTAAAATTAAAGTTCATACAAAAATTGTGCTCATGCCCTCCGTAAACATATTGACGTATCGATAAACTTCTTTAGAACATAAAATTTTTACAATTGCAACAAAATTTAAAATAAAATGTAATTACATTTTATATTGTACAACAAAATGATATTATATTACAAAATAAAACGTGCTGATCTAGGATCTTAAATGGAAAATTAATAGAGCATGTAATTGTGGTAAAATTATCCTTTCCGTATTTATTATAAAGAAAATTATAACAATTAAAAAAGACAAAGGAAAAACCACAAATAATAAACAAAAAAATGTTAACACTTCATAAAGTTTCAAATCAATTTTCATAATATCTGAGACTTCGAATCTCTAAACCACAATATACTTGCAGAATTACATGCAGTTTTTTTGTACACACCCATTTATACTTCGTGTATAACATTTTGATCACATTTTTCAATTCAATTAAAAACATAAGAACTACATAAATAAAATGTCGTCCAATTATTATTGAAATTTTTTTTTTCATCTTCTTTTATTCCCCCTAGCGGTAATTATAGAAAATCATTTTGACACAATTGTAATAATTCATAATAATAATAATAACATCAAAAAAATATAAAATGAATTCCAAGATTGTAATAACGGAATTATATAACAACAAATT